TTCCACGTGAAAGTGGAGCTCACCATGCTCATCGAGCAGAGCAGGAGGAAGGCTTTGCCTCAGCTGGCTCTCGCGGGAGAGTCAGCACTTGCCGGAACAGCGTCTGCGTCCATACGACGGCGGCGGTCACGACGCGAACGTTCACCGCCCCATCAGTCGATCTCGAAGAGATGATCCACCTTGTGGATAGGTTAGAGCCACCACTGTTGACTCACAACCAGGTCTCGGACCTTGAGCGTCCAGCTGCTCGGCTGAACGTTCAGCTTGCCTTGCTCCTGCATCTCGAGCACTTCGCTCCGCGACCTGTGGCTCTGCCACATGCTGTTGATCAGCCATCTGTGGATCCACCACTTGCTGTCGTTCAGCCTCCCGTGGCTCTACCACCTGCTGCCCTGCAGCTGTCCGTGGCCCAGCCACCGTTGGTGCCAACGCCTCCGCGCTCACCTGAGCAGGGTCTTGGTATGGCTTAAGCAAGCCGACATAGAAGACCGGATGCGTGCGCATCTTCTTCGGAAGGTTGAGCGTATACGCTAGGCCCTTCCTGGCCACGACCTTGAACGGTCCTATGAACCGAGGTCTTAACTTCGTCTTGAAGACTGCAGACACTGCATGAGTAGGTAGGTTTTTAGCGTTTAATAAAACTTGGTCACCGACCTCAAACCTCTCAACATTGCTTCTGCCCTTGGCATCTGCATGTTCCTTTTGCGTGTCTTGGCTTCAGCCATAGCGTCGCGTACTTGACGCATTACGCTCAGTCTCAAAGAGACAAAGTCATCGACTTGCTTGCGAACCGCAACAGGGCTGACATCAGCTAGCGCTCGGCTATCCCTCCCCCACCAAGCCCTGAGCACTGCGTGACGGCGTCAGTGGGACGCGAGGGTTAACCAAGCCGTTCACATAGAACGGAGTGTAGCCTGTCGAGGCGTGCACTGCATTATTTAATGCGAACTCAACGAGTGGGAGCATCTGGCTCCAGCGTTTTGGCGCCTCAGCGCATACGCTTCGGAGGGTATCCTCCACAACGCGATTCACGCGTTCGGTTTGACCATCGGTCTGCGGATGGTCCGCCGTGGACATGTCCAAACGAGTGCCGAGCACTCTGAAGAGGGACGTCCAGAACTTCGCGGTGAAGCGCGGATCTCGATCCGAGACAATTGCCTCAGGCAAGCCATGTTGGCGAAAGACTCGGTCTAAAAACAGCAAAGCTGTACCTTCACCATCAATGGTGTCCGGCACTGCCGCTAAATGAGCCATCTTGCTCAATCGGTCTACAAAGACCACTATACCTGTGTTTCCCGCCTTATCCTTGGGAAGGCCAAACACAAAGTCCATACTCATGGACTGCCAGCATCCCTTGGGGACAGGCAAACTCGCCAATGGCGCTGCCGTGCTCGGCGCGGACTTTGTCCGTTGACACGTCTCACACGTGCGTACATAGGTGCCGACCCACTTATACATCTTGGGCCACCAGTACATCGAGCTCACCGAGCCATAGGTCTTCTCCCGACCTAAGTGCCCGCCCACGGGCGTATCATGAACCTCATAGAGGATTCGATACTTTAGATCCTCATCATGAGGAACGACTACACGAGGGTTATCCTCAGCGTCGGTGCTGTAGTACAGCAGGCCGCCATCGAGTGAGTATCGATGCAGCCTCGCGCGTAAGCGCCCAGACAATTCCTTGTCAGAGTCTTTAAACTCTTCGCTCCCAAGAGCCCGTAGCAGCGCTACGCACATGTCGTCTTGTGCATTCGCTCCGCGTATCAAGTCAGGCACTGACGACGTCACTGTCGTGACATGAGCTAACTCGTAGTCCGGCCTGCGCGAGAGCGCATCGGCCACTACATTAAGCCGCCCCGGCTTGTACTTCACCTCGAAGTTATACTCGGCAAAGAAGGAAAGCCATCTTGCCATTCTCTGAGAGAGATGAGGCGACTGTGTCGCAGTGCGTAACGACGCATGATCAGTAAAGATCACAAAAGGCTTAGAGCCTAGCAGGTGTACCCTGAATTTGACTAGAGCATACTTCATGCAAGTAGCTCTT